ATAAAACAATATCGAATATTTTTTTTGTATATCTAATTTACATTTTTTCAAATCTATCAGCATCCCATCCCATCCCATCCCAAAAAACCCAAGAATTGCCATAAATCCCATCCCAAAAAAATCGAGAATTGCCATAATACAAAAATAATACAAAAAATCCGCCCACCCATGATCAAATATACCAATAATTGTTAGCCGAAATTATTTGTTTCCGTTCGAGCGCCCACGCTTTCTCTTTCTCCTTCTCGAACTCCGAATTCAGCATCAACGCCATGACAAACCCAAACAACAAGTACAGGTTCGTAAGAGTGAACATCATCAAGTATAGTGTTGACTGGTAGCTTTGCGAGAACTCACGGAGTGGATTGGCGCAGCTGATGTCTTTGTCGTCTGGTTCGTATCCATCATCAGTAAGGTCCTTGGATGGTTGTTGCTGTTGAGGATCTTCTTTTTTTGGTGATGAGGATGGAGTTGAAGATGGAGTTCCTGATGATGATAGGGATGTGGTAGAAGATGAAAATGGAATTTCATTAGTATTAAACTTTATTGCAGTTGAAATCAATAGTGATTTATCGAGACTCACCTTGAGACGTCGTAGGAGTTGCAGATTCTGGAGTTGAGCTTGCCACTATTCTTAATACAGTTCCGATCGATGATTGCGGTGTTGGCGACGACGATGTATTTGTTGGAATATTTTGTGACAAACAGAAACCTGTTATAGCTGGAAAATCAGTCTTATTAAAGAATCCGCAACAAGAAAACTTTATTATAATAAAAATATATAAGAAAAAATAATTAACTAAATAGTCATTCAAATCCCCAAAGCCCAAAAAAAAATAAATAAAATAAAAATACTCTATTCTCCAAACTCGCTCTAGTCACATCACTCCAATGTCGCCACTCGTTCGACAACTCGTTTCCCGACTTCATCGATCCACGCCAAAATACACCTCCAATCGCGATCGAAGATATCACAACAAAGATCACTATTGCGATGAGCACGATTAGGATCGGTTTTCGCGCGTATTCGAACTTGTGGACGTGGATTCCGAGTATGGTGGTGATTATTATGAGTGAGGCCAGTAATAACAAGACTATCATAAAAAATATCAAATATAGAATAAAGATTAGTATGTCGGAGAAAGATATGAATAAACTTCCAAATAATTTGATACACACATATAACCACCGATCTACTCAAAAGCACGCGTCTTTCCAGTCCAAGTGAATCCAAAAGACACATCATCCCAAAAAGTAACAACATTACCCCTGATAGCACGTATAGGGTGAAAAACGTGAGAAAACAGTATCGGAGTTTTAACGAAACTCCCGCCTCCATTATTATTTTAGATGATTTGATGTATTGATTAAATAGATGATTGATTTGCGTAATTTTGACTGATTTAATTATGAAAAAGTTATGAAAAATGTATATTCCGACCAATAAATAAAAAAAATTGTATAGATATAATTAATAAAGCTGAGATTTTTCTTATGATCTATATACAGGGAATCTTTTTTTTGAAGGGTAAGAAACCGGTCAACGGTGGGTCTTTGAAGAACGTATGAATTTGGGTCAACCAACAAACAAGATATCTGCACAGCAGTTTTTCCTTAATTTATCATGCAATTAATTATCGTAAGTTAAAAAAGAACACCTCATTGAATTAAGTTTTTGTGAATTCTTGAAAGGGGGTAAAGTCAATCAAAAAATAACGTAAAAATCAATTCACAATAAAATAATTAAACCTTGCCGCTATTTTTTTAAGTATTTTTGTTTCAATTTAGATAACATAACGATAATTTCCTAAACAATTCGAAAAAATCAAATTATTTAAAGCGCATTGCCTCTTTGTAAAAAGGTCATATAAAAATGGGCTGCACGAATCAAAGACCCAACGTACATGCAAACAATGGCACGGCATGTTTCAAAATCACATAAAATTGTTTTTGCGTGTGACAAAGACCAAAAGAATCGCAAAAATCGGATAATGGATCAAACAAACGAAACAAATCGTCTCTCTAACCTGAAATGGAAGACACCAATCATGTAATTGGTAAGGTTATAATAAATAAGGAACGATAAAGAGAATAAAATCAAATATCAAGAATTTTATTGGTCTTAAAAAGTTGTTTAATAGTTCTATTTGATAAAAGCAAATAAAAAAATCCCACCCCAGTCAAACTTACCTTAGAACAATAAATAATTTCAAAGAACTTTTGCATCGACTTTTTGAGTTTGATATTTAAATGATGTATTGTGATTAGAAGCTAGTAATTATAACAATTTGAGAATACAATAATTGGAAAATCTACGTGCCTGAACTCGGCTTTCAGATTAATTAAAAAAGCTCTGTTTACATAGAGTCTTGAATCAGTTACGTATTGATCCTGTCTACTTTGTCTTCGCTAAGCCGACAAATATTATTATATTATATTATTATGTTATTACATATTTAAATATAAACATATCTATTGGATTTGTTTGTTATATTTGCCAAAAAAAATCTTTCCGGCAGACCTCAACTAATTGGTGGCCAAAATTGTGTAAATTGATGAATTAACGCAAAAAATTGATTGATCAAGAATAACAACAATGAAAAAAGGCAAGATCACTCCCGCTTTCCCACTCTTACTCTCCCCCTTTCCCCAATAAAAAAAACTAAGTAACGAGTGATGCAAACTTTTGTTCAACATGCGCAGTAATTGTTATTTTGCGGAGGATTCGTCAAATCCACGCCTCTGGTATTCAAAACGTTGCCTCGTGAACGCGAGTTTGCAGCTAACTGATCCAATGGCATTTTCTTTGCTACATAGATGTTTTAAAACAAATAAGAAAAACTCTGTGAATAAAAAATTCAAATTACAATAAATTAAAAATAAGGTTATTATTGAAACAAAACCTATTGATGTAAATAATTCATTCACGTTAGCTGCTGTCTTTGCCGATGTCTCAAAAAACAAGAGATTAGCGTCGTTGGCGTAAGATTGTGCCTCCTTTAAAAGATGAAAATCAAAAAAAATCAGAAAATAAATAATTGAATAGATCCAAAATATATATATATATATTTTGATTTAATTAATAATACAGTCGTCCCTCCATATAGTCACATCCTCGATAGTGTGACTTTAAAGAAGGCTGTGAATGTATAGAGGTCAAATTTTTC